GGGGTCCTAGACCTCCATCCATGTGCATCTATGATTGTGGTAATAGAAATATGGTGAATATTTGCCATGAAGTCCCCTCTCAACACTGCCGCTCCCCAGGGACACACTCAGCCCGCTCTTTGTGCCGCTTTCTGCCGCAGTTCCGGAAGCCCTCTTTCACGAGTGTCTTCAGGCACGCTGTTGTGATTATCCCAATGTTCTGCCCTGATGTGAAACTGCTCTGAAAGTCTGGTGGTCGCACAACACCACAGTTGGTGAAGGAGGCGGATAAGGAGGCATCCAGGTGTTTTTACACGCCTGCTTTCTGTGACAATCGGCAGCAGCATTTGCTGCATTTTTGACCACACTTCAGAAAGACGCGAAAGAGGACTTCGGGAGCTGCTTCAGAAAGTGGCAGAAATGGTGGGATAAGTGTGTCCGAGGTGAGAGGAAGCATTTTGGCACTGTTACAGGCAGCGTGTTAGTGTAATGACTTTTTTTTTTTTTCCCCCACTTTAGACATTCACTATGTATTTCGATCACACTGCATTAATAGAGATGGGGCCTCCACAGAGGCAATTAAGGTGAAATGAGGTCGTAAGGGTGGGGCCCTAACCCAACTGTATCAGTGTCCCTATAAGAATAAGGGACCCTTTTGTACTTTCATAACGCAGCAGGAAGATGACCAGGTACAGGCCAGGAAGAGAAACCAACCCTGCTGCCTCCTTGCTCTCGGACTTCTGGCTTTCAAAACTATGAGAAAATAAATATCCATTGCTTTAGCCACCATCACGTGGCACTGTGTCGTGGCAGTCCAAGCAGACTGAAATAACTGGTGTCTTGGGTAGTTTTGTGTTTGGCCCTTGGTGGTCAGGCCACCCCGACCCCGCTGTGGAAGGCCACGTGTGAGCTCAGGGTTCTTGGGACCTGTTTCTTCCTTTTAGTCTCTTCTAGGTCTCATCACCCTTGGGAGAAAATCCAAATGGTTGGAATTCTCAGATTCTTAGGAGGATAAGATGGGGACAGTAGTGACCTGGAGCCACTGGCTTCCCTTGCAGGTCCCTTTCTGAGCTGGATGAATGGGGGAAATGTTTATCTTTGTGGAAGGCTTGAATTCTACCAGTACCACTACTAGATTAGCTTTAAGTAGAAAGATAATGGGAACTCTAACATGAAGTCCTCAGAGACCTGGATTAATAAAGGGACAGAAGGTCCTGTCTGAACACATCAAATGTCGGCATGTACACAGGATTTTCCAATGGGATGAAAAAGTTAAAACCATGCTGGCTGCACCCCTTGTGTTGTCTGTGGAATTGATGGGCTTGCAAACCCTCTTTGTATAGGGCGCCACTGAAGAATGTGGCTGTTTGAAAGAGTAGCAGTGAAGTTACTGCAAATTTTCTCCATGCTGAGGTGAGGAGACTTTGGATGATGTGTGGGAAGCCTCTTGCTAAGATATTGTCTTACAGACACTGGTGTGTGTGTGTGTGTGTGTGTGTGTGTGTGTGTGTGTGTGGTGTGTGTGTGTCCAGGGTCTTTGAACTGAGCTATATCTCCAGCCTCTTTTTTTATTTTGAAACAGGGTATCAGTAAGTTGCCCAGGCTGGGCTCCAATGGGACAGCCTCTCCTGCCCGAGCCTCTCAGAGCACTGGGATTACGGGTATACATCACAGTGCTGGGCTTAGTCCCGGTGCCACTGTCTGCCACATTTCTGGGGGCTTGGTTCTGGCTGAATCTCTGGACCAGGGATGGAGCAACAATTCTTCCACTGGGACAAGGCCTGCTCCCTGAATCTTTTCTTGGGGACAACAGGAATGAGACGATGACAGACCGAGATGGAGGGGGTAGGAAGCAAGTGCAAGAAGGTGGGAGGGACTCGAGGTTCGTGGGGGTGAACCTGGAATAGGTCTGGGGTCGTCCAGTGGAGTGCAGGTCAATAGAGGGTAATGTTATCCACTCCTCTCAAATCCACACCCATGCTGTCTTCTCAGCCTCCTCCTCTTTCCTGCTCCCTACTTCCTGGGGCTCCTGAGCCCTTTCCAGTCAAGTGTGTGTGAGCAGGCATGTTCCCCCCATCGCTCTGCACGCTGTGATCCAGCTGGCCCTGGATACCACGCTCTTCCCTTGCAGGGTGGCAGGTGGTGAGGTGCTCTCGGTGTGGCCTGACAAGAGGAGCATCTGACATCAGGAAAGGGCGGCCCCGCCCCTAGCACCCACCTCAGCCCAGCACAGACTGGAAGCTGCTAGCTCTGGGCATGCCTGTGGCTAAGGTGCTGTTGCCCGGAGCACTTATAGATGCTCTAGGTGCCTGCCATCTTGGGCTATCTCTGAGACTCATTACTTTTAGTTTTTTTTTTTTTTTTGTGGAACTGGGGATTGAACTCAGGCCCTTGTGCTGGCCAGGAAAGTGCTTATTCTACTGAGTTATCTCCCCGGCCTTTTAGTATTCTTTAACTTGCTTTTCCTTTTTGCTTTCTGGCCAGCAAACTGCATGCTATGGTCTGATGATCTGTGTCCTGTCCCCTGAAAAGTCCTAAGTGGAATCCTAACCACCAGTATGATGGAAGTGGGAGGTGGAACTCTGGGAGGTGATTAGGTCATGTGGATGAGGTGTTCATAAATAAGATTAGTGCCCTTGTAAGTGGCCGAAGGGACCAGAGTTATTCCTTTCTGCCAAAAGTGAAGATACAATGAGAAGGTGACATCAGTGAACTAGGAAGTGGGTCTTCCCTACACGCTGGATCTGCTGATGCCCTGCTGTTGGGACTTTCTGGCCTCCAGAACTGTGAGGGAAACACTTCTGTTGTGTATGAACCATTCAGTTTATGCTATTTTTGAATGGACTAAGGTATCTACCTCTGGAGCTCGCCAACACACAGTGCAAGCGGTTGATGCATTCATTTGCTTTTGGTTGGACCTGTAGTCTGCACTGCAGCGAGTAGTCAACTTCTGTTCCTGTCATAATCTTCACTTATGATTTCAAACTTCCTATTTTAAATCTCCAAATCAGCAGCTGACTAGCTTCTTATAAGTGAGGCCACACAGCAAATATTTTTAGGACTGTGAAGCTGAAGCCATTATGTAGGTAATTACGTAACAAGAAAGAAAACAAATTCCTGTCCATTTTTCAAAAGCTCGATAATATCAAGAACAATAACAATAAATGAGGACCATTTAAAAAATACAGGTCTACTAGTGAGAAGAATGGGGTTATTTTTTGAAGGACTAACATTTTGCCTAGCTGGGGTTCATAGGTAAAGCTTTCTATCATTAGATTAATCACAAAAGTTCATCTCTGGGGGAAAAAATCCACAAAACGTTCTTAGCTCCTGGATTGTACCATAACAGGCATCAGTCAGGCTGGAGTTGGTCCACAGACATTAGTTTGCCAGCCCCTGCTGCGATAAAATTTAATAAGGGAAAAATAAGTCTGACTGTTAAAACTCTACAACTGACGTTTCAGTGGTGGGCTAAAAAATGTACTGATGTCAGAACTCATAAAATGTGCTATTCCAAGATCAGCTCCTCGTGGAAAGGAGGAGCTGTGCC